TGGGAAGAATGCTCGGGCTCCTGATCATCAGCGAGCTGTTGGGTCTTGCACGAGCTCACGGAGATCGCCCCAACTAATCTGGGAGGGGTGTCGGGCCGAGGGTTCATCATCTACTCAACCTCCTCGTCACGGAGGTGAGGTGCAGAAGCAGCAGTTGAGGCGAGCGCGGCCTCAAGGGCCTCCTTGACGCTCCCAGAGCTAACCCTGGAGCTGCTGAGGCCGGCCACGGCTTTCCCGGCTCTTTGACGAAAAGTTGGCTTGCGAGACATGGCTGAACTTGAACTTGCTGAACTACAAGAGGGCAGAATAGAACGAAGAGGAAGAACTCTGGCTACCAGCGAAATAAACCACCTCGCGTTACTTTCTTACAATTTAATAAGCGAGGTCGAGGCACTAGTTCATAACAAAACTCATCAGGTGTGACAATCGGAGCCGGGGACGGGCGATGAAAGAACTCGTCGAACTCATTCTTGCGTGAACGTGCTCCAGACAACTTCTCCTCGTCTGAACAACTCTAACCGGTGCTTGATATCGGGATCCCTTGGTGCTCTGGACAGCTGGCCTGATAAACAAAAGCAAGCAAAGGGTCAGAATAACCAGTCAAGCAAAGACAAAGCGAGAACAGCTAATGAACGTCCGAGCCTAGCTAAACAACCGTTGCCCGCAAACTCGACTGGCAGCCAGGAGAAGTCAAAATCCCCGACAGACGCTATGTTGACCCAGAATTTAAACCCGGTCTTCTCCCAACCGGAGTCCTTCTCTGGGCTTTCCTCGATGAACCACCGGTTTGACCTCGGGGACGCATAGAAAGTCCCGGGACGTCAGGAATTTTATTTGACAAAGAAAAATGCCCTCAGGTCCGAGTAGCAAAAAATTACGTTCTCCTCTCGCGCCCGCACGACACATCCGACTATGGCCCGAACCAGGTTCGGGCACATCTGCGGGAAGGCCATTCGCAGGTCCGCCAGTACTTCGAGGATGAATTGAGGGATTGGGAAGAAAAGCCTGCAGTCCCGGAACTATGTTGCGTACGCTCAACAAAAGCGCGGCTCAACAGTCGCCGGAGTCTCTGCTGGCGTCAGAACCGCCAGCTCCACCCCGTCGGGGATTTCGCATTCTCGACGAAAGTCGTCGAGAGTTTTTTGGTAGTTGATCTTGGAGGGACCCGGGACTTTGGTGGCCCTCCCGGAGCTTTCTCCCTTGATTTTTACGATGGCCGACATCAGAAAAGAAGAAGGGGGAAGAGAATAAAGACGCTAAAACCTAGAAAACTCAAGGACGAAAATCGAAGTTCTTTCAAAAAACGAGGGAAAACCTAGCAAGCAATATCTAGAATCACGATGACTGGAAGTTACAGAAAATAAAAAGAAGAAGGGAGAAGAAGTTACCTTTAACCGACGAGCAGATACGGTTAAAGAAGGAGTGGAGAAGATGGACTTTATATCTGAGCAATTATTGCCCACCTCGGAGATCGCAGAGAATCTGGCCACGCGCCAATCTCAACCGTCCGATCTCCTGATCTCAACCGTCGAATATTTGACCTCGACGATTCGATGCGCTTCATAGCTCAATCGATTGAGGCCGTCAGATCGACTTTCTCTCTCTCCATCTGGACCTTCCACATCACACGATACCTGAGCGAATCTTCTCGAGCGCAGCACCTTGCCTCGGGAAGCTCGACCGCCGAAAAAGAAAAATAAATGATAATATTTACTCTAAATCTCAACCGTCCACCTGGACGAGATAATAATGAATCCGACTCCACACGCAAGGTTGCGGTTTCAAGGTCGATCCCGACCGCACGATCAACGAACTGTTCACCTTTCCAAGATCTGAACCGTCGATCTCGAATGATTATCTGACTCGGTGACGTCAGCATAATCGGACACAAAATCTTTTAAAAGTCCCATCTTGCCGCCCATTAAAGCTCGAGCTCGCTCTCGTTAATGGGCTGTGGGGCAATTGTTAAAGCTGGATTTAGCACTCTAAATTCGGCCCACTCAAGCCCAACAGGCAGATCCAAGCTAAGCCAAATTGACTGGGCTTTGACCATACGGCCCAGGCCCATTAGCTCTCAAAGATCCAATTCGGAACAACAGAACGTCCGTTTGATGAAGTCGAGCTCTAGCTCGATCGAATCCGAGAAACAAGGGAGGATCTAAGCCGAGTAAGAGCATATTCTTGCCAGTCCAAACGAGTCCGAAGATCGCGGAGGAAGTTGCTTCATATGGCGAGATTTCGGGCTGAAGCTGCTGCACGTGGCCGAGATACGCGCTGGAGTTCGAAGCTCGATGAGGCGAGCTATATAAAGGATGGAAACAGCTTAGCTCGGGGGACCTTCGGCTTGATATACCTTTACACTTTTTACATCCGAAAACTCTGTAATGGCTCTTAGAGCTCTTTTCAGTTCATCTTCTTCATTGAAATCTTTGTAACCGTTTCATTCAACCGATTAATATCAAGTCCTTATTTCAGTTAGTGCTTGCTTATATTGTCAATCTGTTCGAAAGAATCTTGCCTTTAATCCTCTAAAATTCTTTCTTTACAAAAACACATAAATTTCTGAGTGTGGATTTCTGTATCCACAACCACCTCTATTTGAATTTTTATAAACTACTCATGTTTCTGTCAATTAATCCATTTTCATTTTTAAAATTTAGACTAGAAGTTTCACTCAAGTTTGTATGTAGAAAATTGAAACATCCATAAGAAACTCAATATTATGTTTTTTTATTATTTAACTTTAACTTGCATTAACTTAGTTTTTTCTCCAAACGGAAATGATGATACAAACAGCCACAAAGAACCAAACAAAGCAAGACATCAACCTACAGGCTGGTGGAGCATAAAATGAAGTAAAAAATACATTGAAACCTCAGACCGAGATAAAGGGATAGATGAGAACTAACAAGTTCAACCGAAGATAAATGTGAGCTAACAAGCTCAACAGAAGATAAATGGGAACTAACAAGCTCAACCGAAGCAACATCCAGACAAAAGCAAGCACTGTCTTGAACAAAAACACTAAGAGAGAGGATCACAGCTCCCGTTGTCGATAAGGTGAAGCCGCCAACAATATCAATTACTGAACCAAAGGCTATAAGCCTCATGACTTTTGTTCTAAAAAGAACTACCTTCGACACAATGCTCTCTGAAACAATACCACTCAAGACAGCTGAAAAATTTGAGAGGAAAACAGCCTCCTTAAAGGAGAGATGAGGACTATAGCAGTCCAAAACCCGATTCAAAGGAAGAGGACTACTAAAACAAACTTTCTTCTTAATATACAACTTAAGAAGAGAATCTGAAACATCCGTCAAAGTGAAAATGGAGCAAACCCTGCATACTGCAGTAAAGATCCGCACTGAGGCGGGAATGAGGAGAACTGAACCATTCAGTATTGGCAGCAATATACCCGGCTCCATATAACAAGCGTTTCCCATCCCGCTAAGAGTTGTTCCATAATAGGAGAAATATAAGCTGAGGAGTAGGAGCAAACTTTGGGACGCTGTAGAAATAAAGGTATTGAGGTGAGGAGATGGAGAGACGGCATTAGGGCTTTTGAGGCACTCTACAGTAGGGGGCACCCAAATGTCAAAACTCCTATACGAGCTGCTGAAAACCTAGATCCAAACAAAGGAGGAGCAAAATTGGTGGGTTGAAAACGGAGGCGTTGAAGAACGATGGATGACCGAGGGTGGCGGCGAGATCTGGTGGGTCAGGAGGTTAGATGGAAGATAGCCCCTCAAACAGATCTGATGACGGCGGCAGATCTGGAGGGGTTTGAGCAGCAACGATGGAGAAGCAAAGAACAAAGAGGCCATGGAAGAAAGGAAGGAGAGGAAGGAAGGAGAAGATTCTCATCGACGGCGAGAGGCCACACTGACAATAGCAGTACCGAAAACCCTAAATCAACAAAATCGCCTTTCTAGAGTACATGTTTTTTTTTGCATACTCAATATTATCAATATTATGTTTATGGAGTCCAAAAATTTATATAATCAGGATTCTTATTAAATATTGATTCATACAATTAAATGTGTTAAGAACATCAAGTTAAGACAACCTCGAGTGTTGCCAGCAATTCTCTCACAACTTATTTTATGCATGATATTAATCAAGGCGTTACTAAAATTGGTGTTAATAATCTAATCTTTCTTCTTTTACTTTTATTGCACTAGCTATATAAAGTTTTAATCAGCTATAGTAGAACTTTATAAATTATATTTTTTTCAGTCTAAAAAATAGTCTATCAATCAAATAATATATCTATAAATTAATGAAATTTCATCAAAATAATCCCAACATTATTAATTTGTAGAGGTTTTACTATATTATCTATATTTCATCATTGTTTTGACACTTCTAACATCTTATATATATACAAAGTTTTCCAACAATGTATGAGTAGTGTAAGATATTCGTGGTGAAAATGATTCTTGACAAGAAACCGACTTTTCCTGCTTCTTCTAGCCTTTTAACTTTTTCATGGATGTACCTCTTGAAGTTTGTGAGGCTAGAGATCCAGAGGGTCTATACAAGCTTGCTCGTGCAGGCAAGATCAAAGGTATTTTCCTCAAGTTCAGTTTGTAGTAATCTTGTTTTTGTCTTTATGAGATCCTCAAATTATATTAACGTTTTGAAATGTTTCTTCAGGATTTAAATGAATCCATTAATTAGATCCTTAGTCTCAGAGTTGTAGCACGTAAATGAATCCATTAATTAAACAACCAACAAAAATGAAAACAATAAATGAATTCATTATCGAAAGTTGTCGTACACCAATATCTCAAGAAACAAAAAACAGTTTTTGGGCACTTTTGGACATAAATCGACTTGGGAAATGAAGTAAAACAAGAGTGGTGTGTAAGACGTCAAACGTGACTCTCCCTTTCTCGCGTATTAACATCCTACGAGAGCTCGCAAGAGAAGAAATTCTATTACATTTCAGGTTATTTATATATAAATTTAGAATTGAAATCCGAAGGTCTTTCTTAAAATTATATGAGTGAGTTGAGTTTCATATCAAGGCCAATGTCCATCCCGTTGTAAGCTATGGGCGCGTACATCCATAGATCATCAGAGCTCAATAACTGTAATCATTATAAATTGTATTTAGATTCTCTACCTTCAAACAATAAAACATTATTTAACTGTATAATTGTTTATATAGTATATATGACTTCATCAAATCATTGAAAACCTAACGTACTTTAATTTGGAGCTGCAAAAATTTGACATATTGTACTGCTTCCTCCAACATCGTGCTAATATCGACCTGTTACATATTTAACACATTTACCTTTCTTAGTAATGAAATAAAATTCGAGTAAATAATTGATGTTGTCACGTAGTAATTTCGCTTATTATATATATATATATATATATATATATTTGCATGAAAATACCTTTGTTCCATTAGGGACGAGGTTTTGCAAAACCCTTAGCCGCTCGTTTATCCTCTCCCTTCTTTTCTGCACCATTATAAAATCGGATGTTGATTTAATTTTCAGCCTTACATAATATTTTTATTACTAGAAAGATTTATCTCAATTTGTTTCTTTGAATTTTTTTTTTTTTTGTAAATTTTCTTCCTCCAATTTTTTGCTGAACCTTCTAGGAATGGATGGTGATGATAAAAAAAATAATAATGGATTTGTTCAAATTATTAAACTTATAACATCTAGTATCATACATTTTATTTATTTATTAACTTTTAAAAAAAGATTGATTTAGATTTGACTTTTGCCTATATATTTTGCGAAAAACCTTTATTTGTATAAAATAAAAGATAAATCTCAAAAATACCACAAAATAAGTTTTTGTTTCACAAATACCATCACTAATTTTAACATAAATTTGAATTTTTTTAACCTTTTTTTTAAATGTTTTGTATAAATTTAGGCGTTTGGAAAAATCAAAGCCTTAATATAAAAATCTATGTAAAACTCACCCTTGCATAGAGGCTTTGAGGATCGGTAGCATTTCCACGGCTAGCCCTAGTTTTCATTGAGGTTGAGAGCATTAGAGTCTTCGCAACCTTCTTTGCAGGAGGAAGTCTCACCACCGTTTGATTAGTCATCTGAACAACAAGTCTTTTGCAGCTTAAGCTGTTTAGTCTTTCTCTTCCCTGCAGCCTTCTCCGTCTGTTCTTCTTCGCCGCTATTGTTATCATCGTCACTCATCTCCATGTTTTTCTGATTCCTCCATGCCTTGTTGCCTCTCTTGTTCTTTTGATTTGGTTTTTATGGTCATGACAGAAATATTTGGAGATTAGTATGTGAGATCACTCCGGACCGTACATATCGCCGAAATTTCTAAACATTCTGTCTATGGCCTTTATGAACAATTATAAAACATTAGTTATATTCTTGCGTGATGCTGCGGGATTTTTTATAGTTTATTTTATTAATTTATATCATATTCTAATAAATAAAAAATAGATACAGAAATAAATAGTTTAACTAAAATTTAATTATATATAATTAATAAATTTTTAATATTTATTAATATTATTATTATTATTATTATTATTTTTGTACAATAATATAAGATTTTGAAAACAATTATTATTTTAAACAAAATCAAATAAGAATTTAATTATATTTTTTCTTTAATTTACATTTCTTTCCAACTCTTTAACATCGTCTAATTTTTTTATACATTATTAAAAAATGTATCTATTTATTTTTTAAGTTTTTTTTAATTTGAATACATCATTTATTCATAAAATCACACTCAAAGCTAACATGTTATCTATTTATATTTGAATTTGTTTACATTTATTTTCTTTTACTCACAGTATATTCTTCAAAATTATATTTTTTTTAATGAATATAATTTAACTGCTCTCCTTACTATTTCTTCTATGAATATCACATTTTTTTTTCAATCTCCGTATTTCTATTCGATCATTGGTATAACTCATTATCTTTTAATCATCTATGATATCATTCTCAACTAAATAGCCATGTAATTTGTCTATCTTAGTATTACATTGAGTGCAAAATGAGTTTGGTTATCTTTGACTTATCTTTCTTGTCTCAATTTTCGTTAATCTATTCTACTAAACCCTTCTTATAATACTTATGTTTCTATTATTTTTATTCTTATAAATAATCATGTCACTCTCTTTTTTAGACAAAATCATGTCTCTCTTACTTTCAAAAATGATAATAAATCAATTGTCATACTTAGCCATTCATTTTTCTTATCTTTTAGTATTTTCAGCCATTATCATTTAACGTTCATTTTTCTTCTACCAATTTTCAAATTTTGCTTTTTTGGTGCTCTTTAACTTCGGTTACAATTGTAAATTTTTTAATGAATTTCTAATAAAAAATAATAATTTTTCTTTCAATATTTTCAACAAATTTCCATCAAAATTGTGCTATTTTATTTCTATTTCAAATGATATATACCTCTTTTTCGATGAGTTCACTTTTTCTAAAGTTTGCTCCATTTCCTTGAAATTTTATTTAATCAAATTATTTTTAAAGTTACAAAATTGACATTCTCTGAAACCGGTGCCGGTAAGCAAAATGTTCTAAATCGACTAACTTGTCCAAACCGACTAAACCCATGGTTTTTATTTTTTTAACGCCCGTTAATTTTTGTTTTATTTCTAAATGGTTAGAAAACGTAAGTTTATGTTCACATATATATATATATATATATATATATATTATAAACTGATCTTTAATACGTGAACATAAATTTGGTGAATAGGATACCATGTCCAACTTGGTGAAGTTCAATCTAAGTTCTTTTACTAAAATTTAATCAACATCAAGTTTTATAAATGGTTCATTTACCAGATTTGATTGTAAGCACATGGATTCTTCATTTACCGGATACGATTGTAAATATATATCCTTGATCACCTTAGACTATGTTGAAAATTCTACTCCGTCCTATATTGTATCTATGTTTCTTTAGAAAAAGTGTGTGATGATATTCAGACCTTCACGGCTATGCTACGGTTTAATTTGATAGAATTAATTATATATTTTATCTTATATATAGAATGAACATATAATATATAGTTTATGGATGAAAGAATATAAGTATATAACTCAAACACTACTACACTGATTTTATATTGATGCATACGTATGTAGCTGTTCCAATCTTGAAAACTAATAATCAGTATTACGACTAAATTTAGATACTCTTAAATTAATCCACTAAATTGATGTATTAATTAATAGAGAAAATTTGGAAATATACCTTCAAAAGAGATTGTATTTTGAAAACTACACCATTGTTCATTTTTTTTAACTATACTTAATTTTTTAGTGAAATGTCTAAATTAATCTAACTAAAAATTGGTAATACCTTAAATATTTAATTAAAATATAAATAAATATATAAAATGAAGATAAGAATGAATACACTTGACTTTGGAATTTGATTAATATTCTAATTAAAAATATATAAAAATGAATAAAAGAATGAAGACACATGATTTTGGAATTTGAATCATCATTGCAGTTCATATATCATTTGATTTGGTCTTTTACTAAATTATATTTAGATCTAATTCTTAGAAACTTTATGATAAATCAAAATAATTTTAGTTAAAAAACATCTGATTAATACACTAATAAACTATTTTTTTGTTAGAGATGAATTTTTAAATATTTAAATTGATAATTTCAAATTATAATTGTCTAAAATAAATTATTATTATAATTAATAATTTCAAATTTTAAATTTCTCAAATAAATTAATATTAATAATTTAATTTTAATTTATTAAAATATGTAATATCTCTTTTAAGCTAGGTAAAGAAAAACTTATTTGTTTTTATATAATATTAAATAAGTGTTATTTTTAAAAATTTAACTAACAATGTACTTTTCAAATTTAAAAACTTAAATTAGGCATTTTGCCAATTCTCCCTAATTAATATGTCTTTGTTAGTTAGTGGGTTTTTTTATGGGTTGTAAAAAAAAAAGAATTTATCTATGTGTCAAATAATATTATATGATGTGTATTAATGTTTTATTTTTATTAGTTTTTCATTTATGCTGATGTGTCAGCTTAAGAAACTTTAAAAATGCTGATGTGTCTTCTCTGGAAAGACACAAGGGTTATTGTTGTATTGACTAGGGATTGCCCGCGCGATGCACGGGTTTAGTCTGAAAAAAATTAACTATTTTATTTTCATTTGATTTTGGTTTGAATAAATTAATTTGATCCATTTTCGTTGTACTATTTTCGCTGTGTCGCTTTTGTTATAGAATTTTGTCAAGCTCTTTTGTTAGGTTCGTAACTATTCGAATGGTACACATTTTATATTAGTGTATGTTAGGTTTGCAACTATTTGAACGATACACATAAATTATCAATAAAATATACTATCTTCTAATTCTCTCACCAATGTGGGTTATGGTGTTTTGTTTTGTTTTTGTTAAAAATTCAAAACAAAAAAAAAATTTATGATTATTATAGTAGATCTTCAGAATTAATTAATTGTTAATATATAAATAGTATAATCTACCAACATATCTTATTTAGTTTCTTTTTAATCAACAAAGATTATAAAAATAATTATTTAAATTTTAATTGAAACCTTAAACTTTTCAAACACATTGAATATATTAAGAGATTTCTAATTTTTACTTTCTTAATATTAGACCAAAGTTTTTTTTTTTTACTAAATTTGGCATTAGACCAAAGTTACGTAACAAAATTATAAAACATTCCAAGAAATGGTATAAGACAACTTCTAGCCAACTAAGCTGAAACATCAATATTATTTATCACATTGTTCCGGGTACATAGAGAAAACTAAAAGCAAATGATGGAGATGAGAAAGGTAGGATATCCTTTACGTGACAATAGGAAGGCGACACAAGAAATTTCTTCTCCTGTTGTGTATGGCTTCAATGACTGTGTCTTGCAAAATTTTGCTGTCCCTATAAAACTGACATAAACATAGGATAAGTTTTTATTTTCCTTAACTGCCATCAGCAAAGCAATTGCCTTAGCTTCCAAAGGAGTTAAGGTTGAGCAATCGATGATTTGCCATGAAGGATAGACACTTTCTTTTTATAAAGATTCCAAGCAATGCATGTTGGTGGGGAGATACCCATAATGCATATGTGAGACAGACATATTGCTTACAAACACTGAATAATATTTCAATATTTTTTATATTTTTGTGTCCATGAGCTTCCTGGTTTGAAGGTATCATTTCATCTTACCTTAATTTGGATTCATACCATAGTTGCTTACCCAAGATTGCATTATTATATATATATACAGTATTTATAAGATGGGGAATGAATTCTTTTCAATTTCAAAAGACCAAACTATTCCTGGCTTTTCATAATCACCAACCTTTGAAGGAAAAATAAGGAAGCCATACCTTGATAGTTAGGACAATTAAGTATGAATGTTTAGAGATTTTGTTGAAGAGAATTGGACACCATTGTTACCCACTTTGGAGAATATCTAGAAAGCAAATCAATCAATGGCTATACTACCTATTAGAGAATAGTTTAGAAGATGATATTTGTTTGCAATGACAGCTGAAATTATGGGCACATACATTCCGGGAAAATGAACAACCAAAAGGGAATAATTGTAATATCGTATAAGGAGAGAGAGCCTTGCATCCATCTGAAGTTGGAACCAAAAAGCCTTGAAGAGCACTAAAGTAAAACTCCATAGTCTCTTAAGTGATTAAGCTTTTGGAGCTTCTCCAGTCCATAGCATTCCCACTATTTAAAGTTAAGCATCACCAAAAGATAATCATTGCAAAGTTTCAGCACCACCACAATTAAAAGAAACCAAAAAGAGATGTTTTTTGTAACATATAGTGGCTTATTTAGAGAAGTGATCAGACATATGAAGAACATCATTAACTTTCTTTTATGTTCGATCGAACAACTGCAAACAAAAAAATATTAGTCTAATTTTGAGATGGATGTCAAAACTTGCATATCAAGCTGACCCTATAAACATTGTCCTTGTCAATCCAGTAATAACTGAGATTAAATATTTTAAAAATTAGTATTACCCGTTTGTATGAGAACTTATTTTTTTTTTTGTTCTTCCTTTTTTTCCTCACATACGACATAATGAGATATGGATCCTTTCTCGCTAACATCTTGGAGCTATTTTCAGATAATCGAATTTCATTTGCAGTTTCGATTAATTCATCGT